TCGGTGAGTATCAAATATGTTATTTTAAGTATAACAATGAACGATTTAAAAAAAGGTATAACAATAAACATCGTGATCTCTACTTCATATCTTCTAATTCATTTTCTTTTTATTGTTATTTTATAAAAATTCTTAAATTATGGCTATAATCAATTCCAATTAATTTCAACACACGTGAATTTAATAGAGTATTGATAGTTTTGAAATATGTATTGATATAACATTTTGAAATGAGCATAAAACCGATATCAAATGAGCATACATAATTCATGAAATCATTTTCATTTACCCCGATGCCGCAAAGGCTCCCACCTACGGTGGGGTAAGAGGGGTCGGATGTACGCAGTCTTATCCCTGTACTAAAGCATAGAGAGACTGTTTCCGGATGATCCATAGTGAAAATCGCGTCCAAGATTGCATGGACTGACTGCTGCTTCATAACAAATAAGCGCAGACAATTTAAGCTTTATTCCATCATATTCTCAAGCCAAAAAATAATGAATCTTTGGCTCCATTGCAAATGATGGAAAACATAATTTACGAAATGAGTATCGAAAAATTAAAATGCCCATTTGTGCATGCTCATTCATTTTAGACGTTATACTCATTTATGCTTAACATAAAACTCATTTCTAATATGCTCAATATTTATTTATGTATGTTCATTCCTTTTAGGCATTACACTCATTTCAAATATGTCATTTCAAATATGTCCGTCCAAAAACTTGAGCCATCCAAAAACGTGATTCATCAAACAAAAGCATTCTTCAATTATTATACTCACAAATAATGGCCGTCTACTTCAGATTTTGTATTGATAATCACAAAGCACTATAGTTATTTGGAAGCATGATTTTGCTTCAATCATACAAGATGAGCATGATCCCCACTTCATCAGTCAATTCGTCGCCGTGTGCTTCAGATTCCATTCGCATCACTCGATTCTCGACCTGTTGTCCTTCGTCGATGAGTTGCATAGCCAGATTTAATTGCAAAAATGGCAAGTTGTGCGGTGTTCACCGTACAACCGGTTGTACGACATAATTTACCCCATAAGACGTGAGATTGTGAGAATAGTAAATAAATAATTAGGTTTCCTTCCTCTCTAAATAATTTGTATAATCAATTTTTTTAGTTAATTAACATAATTTCATTTTAATTACTTACTTGATATATCAATATTTTATTATATTCAAATTTGAATTTTGCTACTATAAAGAATTTCAAATGCAAGTTTTTGAGTATGTAAAATTTAATTATTAAAGCTGATTTAATTATCCGCATAAATGATTTTTAACTTTATCTTCACTCAACTTTGAAACTCTCAAATTGAAAATCAGTTCGGGGGGAGTAAGTACATAAATAATTAATAGAGTTATGATACACATATGATTCTTAAAAGTTATAAATAAATATAACTCTAGATTTATTATACTCTCATACCATGCAAGGGGCAACACACAGATTGGTACATGCAAACCCGAAAATGTTTAGTCGTTAAATTCTTGGTGAATATACGTGCAAGTTGAGATTGAATAGGAACGTGTCTAAAGAACAAGATCCACCAAGCGGAAGTGTGCAGCTCATCTGAAGGTTAGGGTTGGTGCCACGAAGCTTTCTTTGTTGGAGATTTAGATTTTTTAGGGATTGTTTTCTCTCAGCTTCAACTGAAAGTCATAGGATGTAAGGTGAGAAGGTGAGTACGTATGGTTCAGACATTGACTAGAGGTCTTGCTTTAGTCGTGAGAGGTCGTGGTGCCATTATCAGGACAACAGGGAGCAACAGTTTAATCACGTACGAGGGGCAACAATGGTTGGGGAGCGAAGGGTTTGATGAAGGCCATAGTTCGGCTGGCGATGGAAATTCAATCACATCAGTACTTACGGTTTGGTCTTCTCCTGGACCACCGCAATGTGTTAAACGAGATGCTAGGGTTCGTGAAATTTATCCTATTAGATATTGTAATTTTGTTGTTTGAATTTTCGTTAAAGTATATGTTGCTAGATTTGTCGAGATGATTGGAAATTTAGCTTATTATTATGTCATTAAGAGTATACGGATCTATACGGCCAGTGATAGCTGTGTCAAGCCCGTTTCGCGGTTAGTGACTTGATTTGCTTTTTCAGGGGTGACCGTCTCTATGTGTAATCAGAGTTACAGTCGTTGTTGGTGGATGTTAGTTGGTGTCCGTCTGTCGGGTATGACTTTTCTTTGATAGATGTAACGATCCAAAAACTAATGGTACATGTATAGGTGATTTCCTTTCAATAAAACAAGATCCGGTGATCCACATGTGCAATACTTCCTCGAACAGATTGATATTCAATGTTAAGGTGTTTGCTGCGAGCATGTTGAATATGATTAGCAGAAAATGTGAATCAAATATATTATCACAGAGTCATTTGACGGATCATTCACTGGAATTTTGAGTTCAAAATGAATAGAGATAATGTGCATAGTGTACTCGATTGTATAAACAATAGATTGAGTACCATGGGTGCACTTCAGCATGTGATGTGCTCCCGTTTTTTACGAACACATAGTCACCTCAGCCATCTTAGTGTTCATACTACTTTCGTTGTTGGGCTTTCTATTTATGTATAAAAGTAACAAGAAATGAAACCACTAGAACTTGGAAGAAGTTTAGAGAAATGAGAAGACTAGACCCAATACACCTATATAGTGATGACAAGAGACCGAGAGATTACCAAGACCGAACCTATGTTTTAAATGCTTAAACTTTTGGCACATAAAAAATACGTAGATGAGCTCTAAGGCCATGTTTGGCACAAAAGTTTTTGGCGAGTTTTTTTATAATCATAATGTGAATTTGTGAAACTCGAAATTAGTTGAAAAACAAATTCTAATCAAGATAGGTTGAAAAGGAGAAAGGGGTCAATAGGCCAATATATCGTCCATCATTGCTCAATCCGCTTTTTGATTAGAAAAATCCAATACATATCCTAAAATCATTAAGAAGAACCGGAACCTATTTTTCACAAAGTACTTGCCACGTTAATTGGTTATGAAGTCAGGGATGTACACTGGAGTTATAATGTGCCTTTTTTAAAAAGAAACTGGACTTATATTAAAATATCAAATGAATCAAGAGTTTACAACTAACTAATAGTTCTAAATCCACCATCTATCTTTCAACAAATGCATTTAGACTTAAGAGATGTCCTACGATAGAATCTGAGGCAACCACCTTCGAAGAAGCAACACAAATCGTTGACCACTAACTAATAGTTCTAAATCCACCATCTATCTTTCTTATAAACATTTAAGATCACCACACTCTTCACCACTTCACTAGACTCATAAGAATCAAAGAATTCTCTTCGTCCCTAATCAGACATAGAAAGGTTTACCCAAAACTAATGAGAGTTTCAAGGCAATTACCTATGATTATACATCTCAAAACTACCGCGAACACAAACTATCCAAGAATTAGATAAATTGTCTAACGAAAGATAGATAAAACTTGAAATAAAAATAAAGCAATCTTGAATCTTATTTTTCCAAACCGTCATAGACACAAGTTCACTCCATGATGGTGGTTCAGGATAAGATCGGACCATCAGTACCTCCATTTAAACATTGAACACTACTCTTGTTGTATCACTTGCTTCACCTTGCTCCATGAATGAAACATTCTTGCCTTGAGTTCCGATCCATCTTCCCCTGCAAGGCTGTAGGTCGAAACCAGACCAAAGCCAGCCTCGTCCCCCATCATCAACCTACTACTCACCGCCAATTCAAAATATCCCAAACCACTCACCGACCTACTATGTGGCGCCCAAACTCTAGTGCAAAGTTGCGCTCACTTCCGTTGCTACCAATAGTAATGCAAGTTAAGTTGACATAAGTTATAATATGCCTTAAGATAACTTAATTTTTTTAATAATAATGTAAGTTTTTTAGTTCCTCATTTATCTCACCCCGTTGCTATTCAAATTTAACACTGTGTAATGAACTAATGATGGTTCAGTTTAGGATGTTTTTGTTTGGATTAAAATTTTATGTTATGGTATGATCCAGTCTAATCTAAAATAGTCTTGTTTGACTTGGTAAATGTCTAATTTTTGTGTATGTTACAATTATCGAAGTCTGATCAAGCATGCGACTGAAATAAGTGTAAGTAAAAACATACAATTGTATGTAACACAAATTTATGATCCACCCTAGGTCACATATCAACTTACACCTGATCGGAAAGATAAAGGTCAAATAAGTATTTATGATCCGTCCGGTAAATATCTGGACTAGTAAATATTTATGATCTATGTGTATTTTATAATTGTTGAAATCTGATTTCATCTAATATGATCAAATCTGCTCAAGTCTAATTTCAAAGTGAAATAAGTCCAAATAAAAATTTCATCGATCTACAAACAGGGGCGGATCTGGGCCTAGGCCAGGGCGGGCCTAGGCCCACACTCAAAAAAAATAAAATTACTAGTATATATAGTTGTAATATTATATATATATATATATATATATTGTTGTTAAGTAATGATATAATTACAAAGAATGTCAATTTGAACACAGATGTCGTGTTAGCAACATGGAAGGAGACCATGTAGAGCATGATTTTGTTTTTACTTTACAAGGGGATAGAGTGAAAATTTCATTTTTCTTCTGAAATCTCTATGTCCTACATCTATTATATTTATTTTTCTTTGACATTGAAGTTGCAACATATTTTATTTTACTACTCCCTCCGTCACTTAAAACTTTGTCAACTTTCCTTTTTTGGATGTTCATCTAATTTTACCACTTTCCCTTTTAAGTACATAATTTGTGGTTCCGGTTAATTCCCGCTCCTGTGCACAAATCTCTACCATACAGTTTTTATTTTATTAATCTTCGTAACGTCAAACATGACAAATTTTTAAGGGACAGAGATAGTATTTTACAAATTTATTTTATACAAATTTTATCATTTTTTTTGCAATACGCGTTATTTAATTAAAATTTGGAATGGTATGCTAGATCCTCCCTTGTCTACAAAGCAAACCAAACTGAACGCCTACCAAATTCATGCAAAAGTTCTGTCGCGCCTCTCGGAGTAGCGGCTGGCTGGTTGGGATTATGTCCTCCATTTTCGTGTCACGTAGAAGACCAACGACAATGCTTGACGACGAGCCATGCAAATTCGCGAGAAGCTCTCGTATAAACATTCTTCTCTCTTCTCTTTCTCTCTCCTGTCCCTCTCTGTTTTTATTTGATGCGCTCTATCTTCAGGAGCCATTTGAGGAAGTAGGAGATCGGCCCTAATTCTGTTCTCCGATCTCCCCTCCTCCGGCTCCGGCCTTCCCATTTCCATTACCTAATAAAACCAAAAAACACACACTCATATGTCCCATTGTCGAATCCGATCCCCCCTGGGAATCTATAGTCTCCGGTTTTAATCCAGGATCGGAAAACTAAAGTAGGATTTGGAGAAATCGATTCTGGATTGAAGATTTATGGCTATGATTTCGCGGCAGGTCATGCCGGCGTGCGATCAGCTCTGCGTCTTTTGCCCGGCGATGCGGCCGCGGTCGCGTCATCCTCTGAAGCGTTACAAGAAGATGCTCGCCGACATCTTCCCTCGCTCTCCGGTTCGTCCATCTTCATTATCCTTCAACATCCCACAATTCTGTTTAGGACAGAACTAGTAATTTGAACAGCTTAAACCCTCTAAATGAACAATGTAGATCACATTATTAGTTTAAAAGATTAAAGCAATTAGGATTGGAACATGTATCATATGCAAAAATGAGAGTACCCATGCTTTATACTAAGAGCAGGACTTTTCAATCTTAAGAAAAGAATATAGATGATTAATATGTAATTATTTTAGGAGGGAAACAGCAATGATGGTTGAAGAAATGTGTTGTTTTTGTTTTTGTTTATGGAAATATTCCCTTAACAATTTTTTGTTTCATAATCATCTTGTTTGATTTCTTGGTTCCATTTGCTTGGAATTTGACCGCTTGCATTATTATTGGGCGTGTTGTTAAATTCCCCCTTTACCTTGGCAGGATCAGCAACCAAACGATCGAATGATCAACAAATTATGCGAATATGCCTCAAAAAATCCGCTTCGTATACCTAAGGTTGGACTAAGACACACACAAGTGTGTTGTTGGACTCAAATTTGCTAGAATTTCCTCTTCTGTTAAAGAATTCACCTAGCCAACCCTATGATTGGGCTAGGCCAAGTGCAGAAATTTAATTTAGTGTGTGCTTATTTTATGATCAGATCACAACTTCTCTTGAGCAGAGGTGCTACAGAGAATTAAGAAATGAGAATATATCATCTGCAAAAGTTGTCATGCATATCTACCGGAGGTTGCTTACATCGTGCAAGCAGCAAATGTGAGCCTAATTATGCAATCTTATTCTCTCTATTAAGTTAGTGTGCGTTTGGCAGATCTTGTTTGGGAACTTGTAATTTTTTTCATTTAAGCTCTAAATACGCCATTAGTTTTACTTGTTAAATAAAATAATATATTACAATAGGCTATCATATGAAAAGTTCCTCATATAAAATCTGAGAAATAAGTTGCCACCAGTTTTTTTATCCACTAATGACCATATTCCGTTGCAAAAGTAACTCTCTTTACCAATATACTAGTAATGTAAGAGATGTCCTTAAATATCCTTTTGTACTAGTGTACTACTCAATAACTAATTTTATCAAACACTTCTAGCTTTTAACCTTTTTCTCTTTGAGCTAGCTTTTTCAGCACAACGTGCCAAACAAACTCTTAGCAGAAAGTGCTGGCTCATAAGGTCCTATCAAACAGAACCTTATTATGTGTAAATAACTTTATATTGTTCATTTGATCACTCAAGAGATATCACAAAAGTAAACTCTACTATTTTTTATAAACTGGCTTAGGGTTGTTTACTTTTTTACCATAAGTCATGTCTGAATTAAGATGCATGTTTGAATTAAATGATTCTCGTGTAAAAGTGTTTATTTTGTGTGCTGAATAAATAGTCTGAATTGGGTAAAATAACTTATTTAAAGTGTTTTTTGGTTGCCTTATGAATGAGTAATGTTGCCTATTAAGAGACATCTATTCCAGTGGGTTTTAAAAATTGGCTGAATAGACATGTTAATAGACATGCTAATGGGAAGAAGTAATAAGTGATGGCTTCACAATTAAGATAGTATTTTTGCTGAATGATAAGCCATATTATCAATAAAGTCACTAGTAAACAGCACTTAGTATTAAGGAATCAGTGATAATGACACTATCAAGTACTGCATGACAGGCCATTGTTTGCCGGAAGTTTTTTGAGTATTGTACACATACTGCTGGACCAGGTAAGGCATGATGAAATGCGGATTGTGGGATGTGAAGCTCTTTTTGACTTTGTGAATAATCAGGTCAGGTCACTCTGCCTTCGAGATAAAGAACTACAAAGTTTTCAGGTAACTTATATTGCACATATGTTCTAATTGTTTTTTTGCCAAACAGGGTGACGCAACATATATGTTTAACTTAGAAGGCTTAATACCCAAAGTCTGCCATGTTTCTCAAGAAATGGGAGATGAGGAAAGAGTACTGAAATTACGCTGTGCCGCCCTTCAAGCCCTCTCTTCTTTGGTGAGCTGCTTCATCATAAGCTTTCCTCATGTTTTGACATATTGCAAAAATATTTACCTTTCATGCCTGCTGAAGTGGTTATTATTTCCATCTGACTTTTTGTTTCATCTATTTTTTTTAATCCTTTATCAGTTTATCTTAGCAACTATCTTCAAGGCTTCAACAAACCTGGTCTGAGTTATATGTTGCTTGCCAATGCAGGTTTGGTTCATGGGTGAATTTGGTCAAATGTCCGCAGAATTTGATAATGTAAGCTAACATCATATTCTTTCATTACTAACTTTTACGGCAGTATATTTGTATACACCACAATATCTCTTCTGTACTAATTTGAGTCCTGAATCAGTTTAAGTAAGAGGTGTTAAGCCATCTCAATTCGTAGAAATATAAAGCATGAACCAATATATGCAAGCCTTGAATTGCACAGATCCAGTTTACTTTTTAGGATGGAAGACTAGATGGGAATCAACTTGCTTCATTCTCTTTTCTTTTATTACCAGGTTGTTTCTGTTGTTTTAGAGAACTGTGAAGCCTCTGAGGAGAAACTTGACCAAAATACACAAAATAACCAGGATGGTGGTGCCAATCAAAACCAAGCTATATCATCATCAGATGCAATGAAAAGAGCTACTTCTTGGAGGAACATTGTGACTGATAGAGGACTGAACGTGGCTGTGTAATCCCTTCCCTCTTGCCCTGGCATCTTAATTGTGTTGCTAAATATTCTTGAGCTATATATCCTATCATATCTAAAAATATCTCATAAACATACTATAAACAGAGAAGATTCTATGAAGCCTCAATTTTGGTCTAAGGTGTGCTTACATAATATGGCAAAGTTAGCTAAGGAAGCAACAACTGTTCGACGTGTACTAGAGTCCTTATTCCGTTACTTTGATAACAGCAATCTATGGTCACCTCAAAACGGGGTTGCTATCACTGTTCTGTTGGACATGCAATGCATTATGGAGAACTGTGGTAAATTTTAAATCATCATCCTTTTATTGTTGCAAATTTCCCATGTTTACGAAGTTTGAGTCTGGTATATAAGTCTAGTAAATCTCACGTCTCAGGGATTCGTTTGGGATTTGATTGGAACTTGATTTACTTGAATTGCAGGTCATAACACACATTATTTGCTATGTACATTAATCAAGCACTTGGATCACAAGAATGTGATCAAGAATCCAGATATGCAGATAGATATCATTGAAGTTGCCACATCTCTTGCTCGGGTCACAAAGGTACAATCATCTGTGACAATCGTGGGTGCTTTTAGTGACATGATGAGACACCTCCGGAAGAGTATACACTGTTCCATCAATGACACAGACCTTGGGGAAGAAGTAAGAAACTGGAATCGAAGATACCGCGCCGCAGTTGACGAATGCCTTGTCCAATTATCTTATAAGGTCACCTTTTTCTCATTTTCTCTAGAATCATATGTTAGCCTTCTTCTATAGTCTACACATGATCGAACTCATAGTTGAAGCGACCATAACTACATGTGATAAATCACGGTTTTTGGGGGAACTGGAATTTGTGACCCATTTTCAATGTAAATTCGGGTTTGCACTACATATTGAAGTACTTTTGCACCCCAAGTTTGAGAGAATTTGAATCTTATTTTCCTTCTGAATTGGAGTGTGCACCCTATTATGAATAGATTTTTCAAACTTTGAAGTGTAAATATTTATTATTATAAAATGTGGTGCCAATTCATACTAGAGTGAAGAAGTTAGGTGGAAACTGCATTCCCCCGATAATTCACACTAAATGATCATTGAATTTAATTAATTACCTTATATAATTCAAGGCCTTAACTAATATTCAAAGCAGGACTGTTAAGAAGAATAGTGGTGACTCAAACCATTTGATACTGTGATGCATTCCAGGAAAATAAGTAAAAACATTAATCAACCAGTGAGTGAGTCTCTGGCATGAAGTAGGAAAAATGAACTTTGATCCTTGGATGACACAGGTTGGAGATGCTTCCCCTATTCTTGATGTGGTCGCAGTGATGTTGGAAAGCATCTCAAGTATACCAGTTATAGCAAGAAACACAATGACTACGGTATATCGCACCGCTCAGATCGTAGCAGCCTTACCCAATTCAGCATATCAAAATAAGGCAAGAACAATCCCATTTAAATCTATATGTAATACTCCCTCTGTCCCTTCCTCCGGCCCTCTATCTTTGTCTCATTTTACCTTATAATTTACACTTTCCATCCGTCTCACTAACTTTGTCGCGTATTATACTTGGTAATATTTGGGTGGTTATAGTTCATTGTTACTCTATTCACACTATTAATTAATATCAATCACACAATTCCACCTTTTAAAACAATTATACTACTCTCACGTATTATGTAACTATGTAAGAATGACCTGAACATCAGGTACATTTGAGGTTTGTTTATTTTCTGGTTTGGCACTCGTGATTTGGGTCACCGGTTTGAACTGTCAGTTTGGCCCATTTGTTGACCTGCAAGATATATAACAAATAGATCTGTATCTAATATATAAGTGTGAGATTAAAGCAAAAAATTTATAGAGCCCCATATGACTCTTATGAGTCATATGGGGTATTGTGGCACCATCTTTACCATTGATTGTTAAGTGGAGGGCCCCACTTAAAAATTGAAAGTTAAAGATGGTGCCACAGTACCCCATATGACTCCATAAGAAAGCCATGTGGGGCTCGAGATTAAAGACGGTAAACTTGACCTCTTGAAAAACATATCTGATGTGGAGCACTTAACAATAAAGATATAAGAGGAATAGTACATGAGTAGATGACTTTATAGTATTCCCTATGTTCGCTTGCATTTTTATATTCTTTCAGTTATATTTCCAAATAACTCATACACATAACACATTGTGCTATTTTCAGGCTTTCCCTGAGGCATTGTTCCACCAAATACTATTGGCCATGGTCTCTCCAGACAATGAAACAAGGCTCGGCGCACATCGTGTGTTTTCTGTTGTTCTTGTTCCATCATCAGTTTGTCCCCGTCCTTCCTCTGGGAGTTCACTCTCAAGAAGAAATTCTATTCAGAGAACACTGTCTAGAACTGTTTCAGTGTTTTCTTCTTCAGCTGCTTTATTTGACAAATTGGGCAGGCAGCAGATCAGGTCACAAGAAAGTATGGATAGGAATGGAAGTATTAATACCCAACAATCCATGCTGAATCGGTTGACGTCAAGCTATAGCAGAGCATATAGTGTTAAAGCTGGGTCCAGCGATACGACTAACGTGGAAAAAAAACATGTAAGACTCATATTTTTTCATGCTAACTATAAAAGATGTTTTTGTTTTCACCGTTAGTTCCACATTCTATGTTTCAAATCAGGAGGAGGGACTTTCTCTTAAGTTGAAGACCAGACAAATTAGCATGCTGCTTTCTTCCATATGGGTGCAGGCAATTTCTCCTACAAATACTCCTGAGCATTATGAAGCAATTGCTCATACTTACAGCTTGGTGATGTTGTTTTCTCGAACTAAGGTGTGCCACTATAGGAAAATAATGTGCCAATAAAATTGCCTCGGACATGACTTTACATTATTTATTTATTTATTTATTTATTTATTTATTTATTTATTTATTTATTTATTTATTTATTTATTTATTTATTTATTTATTTATTTATTTATTTATTTATTTATTTATTTATTTATTTATTTATTTATTTATTTATTTATTTATTTATTTATTTATTTATTTATTTATTTATTTATTTATTTAGACTATCCGCAACCTTACCCCATCAATAAATCAAATTCCCAACTAATTTGTACCAAATTGACGTATTCACTACGTCAATCCAATTTTTTCTCGCAATCCAACACCGTCAATATATTCACCCACCAATTTTTTTAAAGAAATTATATAGGCAATATTGGTGTCATATGAAAGGTAATAAAAAATTATGAACATTAATATATTTTTTGTAAAAATAAAAATACAAATAAAAAAATTTATATGAGTTTAAATAAAATAAAGATTTTTTTTTAACATGGGAGACATCTCCTACTTTTTGTTCATTGGCCCTTTCCCCTACTTTTTGCTTTTTCTTATCTCTCTTGGGAGTCAAAAGTGGGTTGATTAATTCCCACCCTAAGTTCTATCCTTTCACTTTCCCCCTTTCCTATACCATTGATTGTACAAGAAATTGGGGTGAAAACATTAAATATATTCTTTTCACTCCAAGATTGTAACTAGTCTTACACCCTCTGTTTTTCACTTGTCCTTTCCTTCTTGGGAAGTTTTTCGCCTATCTTGCAAGTTGTTCCTATTGCAAGGTGAAAAGGAGAAAGGGGTCAATAACCCAAAATATGTAGTTGTTCCATTTCTGTTTTTAGCAACTTTTACCTTGTTTTTCCTTGGCCCCTACTTTTCTACCCTTTCTCCTCTCTATCCTACTTTATCTAGTATCTCCTTCTCTTCCTTACATTTTTTACTCGTTGTCCTTCTCTTTTTTATACATTTTCTACATTACTCATTGACCCTATTACTACTCTTAATCTGTGCTAAATACCTAAAACTATTTGCATCTTTGTACCGTCAATAAACTTAAATATCAACTCCGTGAGTATGAAAAAAGTACACCGACACCGTCAATATAGTTTTTTCATGCATTTCATCACCGTCAATAAAATCCACTCCACATATTTTTTACATATCCGGTTCATAAAGTATTACCTAAATCATATTTTAAGCAATATTTTTCTTTCCTTTTTTTCCTGAATAATTTTAAAATTTAAAAATGCACATTTCAATGTAAAAAATAAACTGGTTAAAATAAAATTTTCAACTTTTTCCCTTCAAAACAAATTAAAAATAAAGGAAAAATAAAATATATTATGGATTTCAATGTGGGCCGTTGGATCATTTTTCCTTGTTCAATCAGTGCTAAATGCATCTCAGTCGTTGGATTAGCCCAGAAAAAGTTAGTTTAATAGGCTGGATGGTGCAGAATGATATTCACGCTGACGTCACCCGCACCATATAATAGAACTCTGCACACGGGTGACAGGCATGGGGCCCACCTCCTGCTTGGGAGTCGGTTGGCTGGCACAATATAGCCTTTGCCCTCCCACTTTCCATTCACCCCTCAAACCCCCCAATGTATCATATCTAGGATGGCAATTTTGACCGATCCGACGGATACCCTTCGAAATGGTTCTTGTTGTTTTCGTATAGATTAAACTAATTTTTCATGTAAGTGAAACAATGTGTACTACATCTGTTTACCCCTAATAATTGTCTTTACCTGTCAACTAACTTAATGAACGATAAAAATAAAGTTAATCTTTTTTGTTCTTGTCAATTGATACAGAAATCCAGCCATGAGACTCTTATTAGAAGTTTCCAGCTTGCATTTTCACTAAGGAGCATTTCCCTTCAAGGAGCAGGTACTGAGTCCTTAGTTACTAGTATTCATGATCTTTTTCTGATATATCTTATTATCTTGCAAGATGTATTCTTGATGTCTTTATTTCTGTTAAAACCTGATTCTCTAAGGGCCTGTTTGGTAAGAAATATTTGTCTGAAATTATTGTTTTAATCAGGAAAGGTGTTTGGTAACATACATCCATTTCAGGCAAGTCAATAGTTCAAACGCTACTTATTCAGCTTATCAGCAGAATAAGCTAGATAAGGCCACCAAACGGAGCCTTAATGTATTGCCGCAGTTTACCAAATTTAAATTAGTGATTCAGCGGTATTTCCTAGCTTTCTTTGAAACCATAGCTTTCACTTTTGTAGGGAAACTGCCACCATCACGGCGGAGATCACTTTTTACATTGTCAACATCTATGATAATTTTCTTGGGGAAAGCCTACAACTTTATCCCTCTTGTTGTTTCCGCTAAGGCTGCATTGACCGAGAAAACAGTATGTAAAATCATCACATGCTGTTGCTATAATCACTCTTTTCTTTCTTTTGGGTGATTTTATATTAATGATTTCCGTCCCACAGATTGATCCTTTTCTTCGGTTGGTGGAGGATTGCCAGCTCAAATCTGTAACCACTAATATAGACTCTACAATGAATGTTTACGGATCAGAGGAGGATGATGATTCTGCTTTGAAGTTGCTTTCAGAAATAGAGATATCAAAGAAACAAATGACAGAATCGTTTGCTTCAATGATAGTGGAAAGCTTGAAGAAGTCATTAACTGTATGTTTCTTCTTGCTTTTAAAAGCATGCTTGTTTGTAATATATATATCAGTTGATCATATCTGAATATCTTTTGTGCAGGATAAGACTAATCTCATTAAAGAGCAGTTGCTTCAAGATTTTCTTCCTGATGATGTTTGTCCTTTGGGAGCTCAAGCAATCTCTGAAATCCGACGCCACCCCAACCAATTTGAGTCGAATGACAAAACTCCTGATGAGGTATATATATTAGCGCTCCGTCTAAAATGCTAGTAGGCGCTAGGTAATGTGAGATTTCAGGATTAATACACTACATCAGGATTAAGCCATTATCTTGTGTGGGCATGTTAAGCCATCGCATATTAGTCAGATATAAACATAACAAACTCGCACATAGAATACACACACACATATACATAAAGCTCTGATTGCAAGTTGATTATTTATGATGAAACCCCAGATTCATGATAGATTAGGCTTAATGCATGTTGGGTTAGCCGGTTAGGCATTTTAATTCATCTAATATGTAACAAATATAAAAACACAAACACATTTAAGGTCTTGACAAGCCATTTTATTAATTTGGTTTTCAACTTGAAACCACAATTTTTTATGTGATATCACAACACATTAAGCTTCAATGAGGAATTCGTTCCTCGTAAGACTAAAAAAACTAACACGTAGTTTTTTATTGGATGACTATTCGTTGGGTTAAGATCTAGGTGGCTAAAGTAGAGGCCTGTTGACCAGATGCAGGTTTATAGATAGGAACTAAGAAGCAAATGGTCCATAGCCTTTCTACCCCTCATTTATACATATGGTTTCATAAATGTGCAGGCATTAGATGAAAGCTTTCAGATTGATGCACTTGAGATTCAAACAGATGCAAACACACAACCATCTTCACAAACTCCTAACTTCCTGGATGTCAATCAGTTTCTAGATTCGGTATCTTTAACTCCGTACACCTTCTGTTCTAGGATTCAAAGTAGTGTCCGTGTTTTTATTTCTGAAGCTGTTTAGGCTAAACTATTGCAGGTTCTAGAAACATCAGATAATGTAGGAAGACAGACATCCCCACCCTCACCTTCTGGGTTGACCTACAAAGATGTGGCTAGCCAGTGTAAGGCCCTGCAAGTGGGAAAGGAAAAAGTGATGCATTTTGTGAGCTCATCACCAAAGAGTAGTGATGATTTTGCATCATTCAATGGACAAGAAGACTACACTAGCTTAAATACTGATCATTTTTACACCCATGCTGACAACAGTTTCCCATCAGTAAGTACTAATGGAACTCCGTTTGGTTCATTTTTTTTAGAGAAGTCAGGTTTTCTATAAATACCAAGTTATTTTACCATAAAAGATCATTAAGTTATGTTTTGGTTTGAATGGCTAACATGAGTATATATTACCATGCTACCGAGTATTTCGTTTCAGTCATTTGATTTATCAAAATAGCACTTCATTTTTTTTACAATTCACCCCCATTCAGCAATATCAGCAATATTTTTAGGAAGTTCAGCCAATATTCAGCAATACCTGAGTAGTGTTTATGATATATTTGACATCCGAAACAATTTACATATATGTTCCAGGTCTGGCAGCCAAGTCGGAATCCATTTGTTGACAGCATATCTGCTGTTCCAATGTCATGTGCCACTGAATATCAAAGCCATTCCAACTTCTTTGTACTGCCAGCTTCAAGCCCATATGACAATTTTCTGAAAGCTGCCGGAAGTTAGTACATTTGAGCATCAGTCATTGCTTGATTGCTAGCAGTTTTCCCTTGTAAGCTGCCGGAATATGATCCATTTTTGTGAGTCCATTATTATTTTATTTCATGTTTTTTTGCCACTGGGGATATCAAATTAAATATGATACTAGTCTTCACTCCTCTAGCAATCTGAAAAGTGTCATTTCAAGAGATTTATCTGCTGTTGTATTTTTATTCTCAAAGTGTAAAGCTGTTGTAAGGTTTAGACTGATTTCCTGGTGTCTCCAAAACAAGAATTTGGAAACCAAAGTTAGAATAGAGCTATGAAGAGAATTTTGGTAATTAGTTCATGAATGTCTCTGGCTATTAATGTTTACCATGTCAAATTGTCAAGAGATCAAATGGTCAATGTTTGGCACAATTAGTGGTTTGTTTTAGCTCTAGCGTATATGGATATATGATATATTGCCTGAAGAACAAATAAAGGGTTTCAAGAATTCAAGAGATAGAATTCTTAGGAAAATCATTGAACAAAGTTTTCGTGAATTTACAGCTCAGTGTTTTTGAAAGGTGCTTGGAGCATGTAGCGTTCGTTACTTTTCCAAAAAAAAAATCGAAAAAATTATATTTATATTGGAGATAAAGTTATAATTGGAGGTGATAATTTTATGAAGTTTTTTTCTAAATTATTATCAAAATATTATTTATGCATAAAAACATGGCCAAAGGTACTTTTGTTTTCACAGTCAAAACTATGTAAAATTAAATATAAAAATGGTCCCTACCATTATTATTACTCCGTACTCCGAATGAGATTAGAGTACATATTAAGAGTCACTATTTTATCCATTATTTTTATTTTTGTAATATATTTGTCATTCTTTTTAATTTTGAAATCATAAACATATTTTCTAAATTTTCTTTGAAACATGAAAACGTATCAACAAATGGCATTGGACTGCTACACATTAATCAATTACGGAGTATAAAAATTCTAATATTCGTTCATGATAGCCACAAAGGGTCAAAATGGAGGAGTAGATTTAGGGGTGGACTCGGGCCGGGCGGCCCGACCCGGAACCGCCCCGCCCCGGTTACTGTTTGGCCCGGCCCGGGGCCCGGTGGGTCCATCGGTTCGGTTTGGCCCGGCCCGGGTGATGGGCGGTCCGGGCTCGGGCCCTGCTTTAGGTGAACCGGCCCGGCCGGTTCGGGCCCGGTCTAGGTCGGATTTTAATTTATTTATTTTTTGAAATTTTTTTAAGTTTTGGGTTGGATTAGGTATTTTGGGCCATTTGGGGTGGTTTGGGGTTGAGGGGGAGGGGTAGGGGGTTAAATAGGAGAACTAAAAAAAAATATGGACCGGTTTGGCCCGGAACCGGCCACCGGCGGTTCGGGCTCGGGCCCTAGTTTTCTGGCCGAGGCCTGGCCGGGCCCAGGCCCGAACCGGGCCCGAACCGGCCCGAGTCCACCCCTAAGTAGATTTATGGAGACTCACGTAACTCTCTTATAAAGTCATATGGACTATCGTGGCACAATCATCATCAACCATTTTCCGGTGGGGCAAACTAAAAAAATGGACCCGACACTAAAATATGGATGGTGGTGATTGTGTCACAATAGTACATATGACTCCATAAGGAAGTTAAATGGATTTCCTTAAAAAATTTGCAAAGTGCGGACTGTGCAGCCACACTTACCTTTTTTCATTTATTTACAGAATAAATGAATGAAATATTCAAAGTTTCATTTGTAAAACTTATTCTATTCCAAACTTTGTATGATAGTATAAGGTTTAAAATACTCTGTCGCACGGAGTACTTTTTTGGCAAATAATATCTAGAATTGTTACACCATGTGCTGCATGTGCTGGTGTGACACCGCACCCGAACGTCCTTGAAAATTTGATTTTAAAATTCAAAGTTTATGTATTGGATTTCTGACTCCCAAACGATTGTAAAACGATTAATGTTTTACGTAATTAATGATCGATTATTGTACTGTTCGAACTCGTATATAAGTATCGGGCCTTATTAATAAATAAAAGAGCCTAACATTATCTAAATAGTAATACATAACGTTTCAAGACAAGTTGAGGAAGGGCGGGCGGCCCAGATATTATTTTGGGCTCAACCCGCTAGAATAGCAAGTATTCGAGAATGGCGTCGTAGGCCCACTCGGGGGCGACCCACACGGCTTGTAGCCCAATAATATGAATGACAAATGTCAAAATAAGTGATAGGATGATTTGAGATGAATAAAAATGCCTATGATCCCATCTTTGACATTATTGAGCTAAATAATGGGAGTAGGATTTTCCTTCTATAATGTCCATCAAGTAAATTATTGAGATGAGCCTACACATATTGGAGATCAATAATGTGATGTAGGAAGTTGACTTGTTCTAAATAAATTAGGATGAGTACAAAAAGACATCTTTGACAAAAGATAAAACGATAGAACCCATCTTCCCATTTTTGGAGGTATTGATAGATATTTTGGACCCCAAAATAATTGGGATCAATGGGGAACCACTCCACATGATATTAGTACCTGCAAGACAAATAAAAATGGGTGAGAAGACTTACCTTTGCCGACCACCATGGAGAGGAGCTGTATAAGACTTGATAGGAATCAAATGTTGGGCCACCATCTCCATTTTTCGCACAAAATGGTGTGCTGTTTGTCTCCACTCATTATGGGAGTTATACTCGACCAAACAACGTGTATAAGGTGTCCTTGGATAGCCTTTGAAGTCTATTTTCATAATTGAGTGGTCTCTGTTCTAGAGGAGAGAGTAATCATCCAAAAATCGATCTGGAGCGAGCAGTGGTCGGTAAACTCGAGCTCTGAGAGTGCTGAAACTGTTTGGTGGATATCTCGAGTTATACCAATCCAATTAAGGCGTGTGAGATACCAAAAGAAAGCTCTCAAGACTAGGAATCCGAGAAGGTCTGTTTTGCATCAATCGGAGTAGTGGAAGGCTTCCAAATCGTCCGAGCAAAACACAACCTCGCAGAAACGGATCTACTCTTCTAAAGTGAGTTGTTAATCCCAAAACCTTTCCTTTCATTTTCCAAATGATATGAACGATTGGTGGAACTATTGTACACTAATCCAAGTGTATAATATGTCCTTGTAAAGTTATTTTATTGATGTAAAGGTTAGATACTAACCTAGAGTAAATCTTGGAAAACTAGGAAACGTGTTCACCGGAAAACACCCATTCTAGGGGCTGTTTTCGTACCAACGTTTAGGGGTTGAGCTAGCGCTTTGAAGAGACTGTTTAACACCCATATTTGAGCAAGGAATCAGTTCCAAATCCACCTTGACCAAAGTCTTGACCATTGGACCAAGAAGGGATAGTTTAAAGCTCAATTGAGGTGAGGATGACCGACTATATTGCTTATAATTATTGGGTTAATTTCATGAGATTACCTAAATGAATTAAATGTGTTTGGCATGGATTTTTAAATGATAAAAAGTGCCTAAATGGAATTAATATTAGTCATAAGTGAAAATGCATAATATACAAATTTATGAATAAATTGTGTATGATTATGTGTTATGAATAAAGTGGCATGATGGTGGTGTTAACCAAGAATGTTCATTGTGATAAATATACTTTTACCACATGAAAAGAAGTCATGGAAGGATAAATGTGATATTTTGATATTAAAGCCAAACAATACTTGCATGAGAAATTAAATTGAAATATATGAACTTTATAGCTATGCGTTGGTTATATCAAGATTAAATGACTAGTATAGAGATACTAGTTGGAAATGTTAGTTCAACAGTTCTTTGGGGGCTAATCCCAAGATATTGGAACTAAGTAACCTTAAAGGATATTTTAAGGTGGATTATATGGACTCAAGTTACATTAGGAGTAGGCCTTAAGGGTTACTCAAAGCGGAAGGAGCCTAGACTAAGAAATTGTTTAGGACTAGATGACGTGACATTGAGCCGAGCTCTAGCACGTAGTAGTATGACTATGAGCCGAGCTCTAGCAAAAATGTAGGTATGACTATGAGCCGAGCTCTAGCAAATGTAATGTGACTATGAGCCGAGCTCTAGCACAAATTAGTATGACTATGAGCCGAGCTCTAGCAAATGTAGTGTGACTATGAGCCGAGCTCTAGCACAAATTAGTATGACTATGAGCCGAGCTCTAGCAAATGTAGTGTGACTATGAGCCGGGCTCTAGCACAATTTAGCATGACTATGAGCCGAGCTCTAGCATGAAGGAACGTGAGTTAATTATAAATGAATAACATCCTAGATTGAGGGTCTTGGAAATTGAAACTTTGATTATACTTAGTATAGTTGTCATTGTACTTGTCAAATGCTTCCAAGTACTGACCTCCCCTTCACGGGGGAGGCCACCTCACAGTTTCAGGTAGGGAGTAAAGCTTGCTGCCATCACCGTTGCTCGGGTAGGATCCAAGAAGAGGAGACGTGGTTCGTGCCTCTTCAGATTCCATTTTCCAAACACTTTAACTAATGCTCATGGATAATGTTTTCCTATTGAATATTTAATAGGGGCTTGTATGCCCATGTTTGCCAAAGTGTGGCATGAACACTTGTACCAAATGTTTCCGCTGCCTTGAATGAATATTTTTACATTATGTTTGTTTACGGATGTACTATTGTGAATGATATTACAGACGCCTTGTATAGTATGGATGCGTTGGACTGTGGTCGACTATTCATACTGTACGGCGGATTGTTGACGTGTCCGGATAGGTCCGGGGCGTGACAATTTAATTGGTATCAGAGCCTTAGTCCGTAAACTTCATAATGAAGCTTCAAAACCTCTTTTGAAAACGAATTTGAAAACCATGAGCATAAAAAGTTTTGTACTTATAGAACTTTTGGTACTTGAGTTGCAAAGTCTCTAATTGTTAAGATGGTACCCTTAACAATTGGTATGACGGTGATTTGAGCCAAAGGATGTCTTTAAGTGCCTATCCGTCACTTGACATTGATACGAGTCTAATGGCTCATTCTCAATTTCCTTCAGAAATGGAACGTACCGGGAAAGTTACTCGACGGAACCCGACTGGCCAGGCACCGGGAAGGTCCCAACGTGGCAGTCGGGGAGCATCAAGTGAGTCTATGGGACAGGGCCGTGCAGGCCACTCGCTGACCGTGAGTGACGGTCACGTGGAAACAATAGATGAGCACTATGAGTCCGAGGAGGATTCAACTTACCAACCGGGAACTGAGCCGGTTGAGACCCCATATGATGGGGAACACGACGATGCTAGTGATGAGAGTGATGATAATGACGCTCTTGAACGGATTGAGGAATTGCTCCGGCAATACCAACAAGATCGCCAAAGGCGCCGGGCAAGGCGTGCTTTGGAAGG